GAAATAAAACCCAAGAAAGACAAGTGATGCATGTGAAAACAATTGCTCACCACCAACCGACCGACGCCCAGCCAGTCCCTGAGCAGCGGCCCCCAGCCAACCTTCCCCCTAGCTTATGGCTGAGCGTGACGTCATACGGTATGGAATATCCCTTTGGGCAGTTGGGGTCAGCTGTCCCGGCTGTGTCCCCTCCCAACTTTTTGTGCACCCCCAGCCTACTTGCTGGTGGGGTGGGGTGAGGAACAGAAAAGGCCTTGGCTCTGTCTAAGCACTGCTCAGCGATAACGGAAACATCCCTGAGTTATCATCAACACTGTTGAAACACAAATCCAAAACAGAGCCTCACACTAGCTACTATGAAGAAAAACTCTACCCCAGCCAAAACCAGCACACAGTGAACCTACGGCACTCAGTGCATGTTCTAACTCTAGGACAATAAAAATACCAGAAACAAATGCTGCAAACTGTACTAAAAGCCTCTCAGTACTACTTTAGCTAATGTAGTCCCCTAAGCTCTGACCACAGGTTAGATTAGTTTAGTGGTACACAAATTGGAGGTTTCTCCTATTTTATTTCTTGGCGTGCTATGCTCCATGTAGCTTACCTTCTGTTGGCACTTTGGACAGACCCAAACCCCCTTGGGAGCAGTTTTGAGGGGTGGGTCCAAGCAGTTGAGGTGAAATGCTCTGGGACATGTGCCACAGGGCTGCAGGTTAACGCCACGCTTGCAAGCAGTGCAGTGTTCATCATGGTGGATCTCATTCTGCAAGAGAAGAAGGATGGCTTGGATAAAGTCAACCCACTGAGAACTTCTCTCTATACAGCATTAAGAGCCACCATTGCAGCAGACAGGCTCACTCAAACACTAAATCAAATTGTCAAAAGCACCCTGGCCACTGTAGAAGAAGACAGAAATAATGGTGTATAACAGCAACAAATAGAAACAAACAGACAAACAAACGAGCCGGACACAAGTTCCATAAATTGAAACAGGCAGAAAAATAAAACCCAGCTAATCAAACACGGGAGGGAGTTGACTAATATAGGCAGCTTGTGACGTAGGAATTATTTCAGGTGGTTTTGGATAATGTGTCACTCCAGCACATACGTCACCATGTGCAACTCTTACTTTGAAGCATGGGTCAAAGTCAATATGTGGCTCACTTGTCCTTCAAGTCCAAAGCAGAAGGAAGCAAGCAAGGAAAAGGTTCTGGGGAAAAAGCACAGTTCCATGCTTTATGCCCATTGCCTCAAAGAGCAGCTAGGAAAACAGTATGCTCGAGTACCTTTTGCTATGTACCCTCTTTTGTGAACTCCTCTAAGAGGGCTCCTCTGTGCCTCTGTTCTCCCTGGCACTAATTGTTCTCTGTTCAGACTTGCTCTGACAACCTTACTCCAACAAGACTGATTAGTACTTTGTCTGAAGCAATATATAAAATGAACTAAGACTCATCAACAAAGTTACAATGTCATGTAGTAAATTGCTATGCTAATCTGGTGGCAACATTAATTACTCTTTGTATAATTAAGTGCATTTTAATAAAGGAGATACTGATTTTGAAACTCTCATGGCTTGTGAATCATTATAAAAAACCTAGATTTTCCTAGTGTTTTTCCAGGAAGGAGAATAATAATTTTGTATCTTTGTTAATTCCAAAAGCATATTTCCATTTTTAGGGTTATTAATTATGATGTTTCGTGATAGATTTAGTCATGCTTATATCTTGAATTCTAACTCAGTCCTGTCAAAAAATTGCTCTCCAAAATATTACTCTCTAGAAATTACCTGTTCAAAAAGTCTTAATTTTAACCTCAATGTAAAGAGATTTAATCTATACAAACTAGAATGGTTACTCATTTTTCTTAGGATTTCCATCAAAAGCACAAATCTGAACTAGCAATTTCTCAGTCAGTGGATTCTTACAAAGAGATTAAACTCAAGCCTTGCATATGAAAGCCCAATAGTTCACCTCTTTCTTTGACACTCTAACTTACAGGCTCAAAGGTTTAGTTAAGTGGGAAATGTTTCACACAAGCAGTATGAAAGCCAGAGAGAATGCTGCAATTTTGTACCTTGATAGAGACTACAATAACCAGAAGCAAGCACTGAATTACACGGTGATGAGAAAGTCACTGGTAATACATAAATTTTGCTACACATACCTTCCAGAATGGATCCTCATTTGCTAGCATACGAAAGAAGGGCAGAGAACAGATTAGTGGGAAATACATCGCTGCAGTGAATGCTAGTTCTCAGCTATGGGGGTAATTTTAGTCAAGCTGTGACACAGGACATCAGGACATTGCCAAAATTAACGCGGGCATGAAAGAACGCAACGGCAAGCAGTGGACTTAGCATTTGAGATTTAAGAATTTACAGTGCAGGAATCCTGTACCTGAAGATCTGATGCTAAAAAGTCAGCGTATGAGAAGCTCAGACTCTATTTCAAATTTTCAAAAACTTTCACGCGGACCTCCTCTCTGCATGTCGGTAGTCCAAAAGTCTTTCTTAAGAACTTCAGCCTCCTGGGTGATGAACAGTCTGGCCACGAACCAGCAAGGCACTTAAGCAGACGCTTAACTTGCAGTACGAAAGTGGTGCCACTGACTTACCATTAAACACACGCTTAAACGTTCAGCTGATTCATGGCCAAAACGTTCAGCTACTTGTGCGACTGAGCTTTATATTATCATCAGCTCTTTATCATCAAACTACTCCCACCCAACCACCCAAGATTTTCCGACCTTCTGATGAGCTGAGTCTGCAGTGATTGCATTCACAGCCTGATAAGAACAAGAACCACCAGAGCTCACTGAAAAGCAGGCCAAGCCTTTCATAAAAGTATTTGTGAAGATCATCACACTCTGGTCCAAAAATAATAAGCCAGAAAATTTTAACAGCTTTATGGAAACTGCACAATGGGTTGTAATTTCTGTTGCTGATTTGTAAGAGGCTGGTGCCTGCTGTCCCAGACAAACAGCTGATGGAAAGGCCTTTCTTTGGATTAAAGCAGCGACAACCAAACTCATCTTTCTGTCCTTCTTCAGCTCCCTCTCTGATCACAAATATGCATCTCTCATCTACAGACCAGCCTGGGAGCTGCTTCCTGCTGGTACAACATTCATTTTACACACCGACGTATGCATACGTGTGAAGGTGCGGACACGTTCACACCACACACACGTAAGAAGAGGAACATACGAGCGGAGCAGCCTCACCTAAGTTAGACCAAAGGCTCTAAAGCTCGGGGTCCTTTGCTAACAGCATCCAGCGCTGCCACTCATGCGCATGGTGCAAGAACAAGGCAAGCACAGAGTACATTCTTCTACTCCAGAAGTCTCCTTCCAGATGCTAGCGCTTTATGGGCTTTCCTAACCTGGAGTTTACATCTTCATTTTTATATTTAACATCCTTAGATAGATTTTTCTTCCATAAATTTGTCTACTTCTACCAACGATTGTAGAATCCTTTGGCAATGAGTTCCATAAATAACCACAGACTTATAAAAGCTGTAGATGTCACTTCATATACACAAATACACACAGAGAGATCCACTGCGATAAGACACTGCCATTACTCAGGGGATATAAATGTTATTCAGATAAACAAGGGCTTGATAATTGAAGAGTCTTTTCTACAAATGATACATGTCAGAGGATGTGACCTCATTTCAGGTAAGACATTTTCAGATAAATGAATCCTGATTAATTGACATTTTGCTAAAGATTTACAAGAATTTTCTCTTTGCATTTCTGGAAATGACAGTTGTTTCCTGTACTTGATAGGGATTTTTTTTAGTTTGTTTGCTTCTCTTTTCAGCTCACTTTTGCTACGACATTTTAAACATTCTAAAATATGTCCAGTTCCCCCTTCTAGCTGCTGAAAAATTAAACTGAAGACAATTTTTTTTCAAACGAGTGTTTTATAGGAGAGGAGACAGTGAGCTCTGCACTGAAGGTGGACAGCCACATCACCGCAGCGCCAAGCTGTCCGGGACAGCATCTGCCTTCAGTTCAGAGCTTGCACAGCATCTGGCACTACGGCTCATAAAGCCCTACAGAGGTGGGTGGCTCTGCCATAAAGAAGCCCAGCTTAAAATTGTCAGAATATGCAGAATCCCAGCACAGATTCTGGATGCTGGAAAAAACAAAGATACAGGACTCAAAGAGGAATTAACAATTAAGGAGGGAGAGTGCTGATTTCCAAGCGGCTCTGAGACAGTTGCATGACTGGAGCTCTGTCACTTGCCCACTTCCTTGCAAATAAAATGTGAAACATGCAGCAGAAAGAAGGTCAGAGATATCAAACCCTAACTTAAATGAAATCCACTGAAGGGCACAGCTTGCTAACATTGGACATTGCCATTCTCTCCTGTTTTTTCCATGAGTGTACATGCGAAAAACAAGTGCTATGATAAGACAAATAATAATTCTAATTATTTTGAAGATAAAACTAAGCCAGGAATAATGTTCTTTCCACTGGGGCTCACATGAGCACGGGCTCCTGCTAAGAGGCATGTCATCATAGCTGTTTACCGTGTAATAACCACTCTTGTCCTCTGAGACCCTATGCATTAGAGGCATATGGTAAGTAGGCCAATTGTCTGCATCTAGCACATGGAAGTGCTGAAGGTAGAGAGAGGCACTGCTGCATCTCAGTTGGTGATCCTGTGGCGCAAGAATTCAAGGCAGGGCCAGAAAGGTGACTCTCAAGCACTAAACATGACACTTGACAGGAATATCAAGCAAACACTGAAAAACTGTTGGAACTTCATGTCTTAATTGAAATTATCCCCGTAAATGGGGTAATTAAAAAAAAAAAAACAACAAACCTCCTAATACTGAAATAATATTTGGCTTAGAAAAAGGCCTGTCTTCCGTTACCTCTAATGCACCACAGCAGAGCCTAAGTTATAAAGTCAACACGAGGGCAAGGACATAATCACATTTCTTGACTGGGTTTCTCTCCTCTTCTGAAATGCAACTCAAGCTTCCCACTTTCTCTCTTAAAATCCTACATGGGCCTTGTCTGACAAATTAAACTGTACTCAATGTTCTCCTTGTTTCATCTCCCACCTCCCAACTCTGCCTTCTCTATATGTTGCGTGTTTTTCCTGGAATGGGCTTCTTCCCAAATGGCTCCTCCGAGTTGTCCATTCTCAAGGCTTTTACCATAAAATTTTCAGCATTTGAAGTTCTTACAAATACAAGATTGGAAGGCATCTTCAAAGCCATCAAATCCAGGTATTTGGCTCCAGCTCTTGGAGTCTGAAAAATGGTGTGGTTTTCAGCTGTTGTTTTTAAAGCAAAAGATATGGTAAATTTCTAGCCCTTGAGGATGGATGGCAGTTTCTTAAAGCTGATGAAAAGAGACAAATGAAAAGCCCAGGATAGTAACTATTTTTTAACTCCCAATTTTTCAATATATGTTTTTAAGCACTTGGGGTTGGCAACACTGCATTCTTCAATCAGTCCACTCACTGCACGGTGCTTACAATACTAGAGATTGGATTTTCCACTGATTGCAGAGACTTTTGATCCATTTCTCCACAGTTTTGACCTTTAACTTTATCCTCCAATTGTTTTTGCAGGAAAACCATCTATTTTCACTGCACACTAAAAAGTGCCGGGACCTTACACAAAGTAATGCCCTATGGTACCCCAGCAGTAATTCATATGAAATCCTACTAAAAAATATTTAACGTGTCATTAGAATAGTAGTATATTCATTTAAAGATATGCTTACCTCTTGTTGAAAGGAACAAGGGGTTGTTCAAATAATTTGATGCAAGGCGTTTCCGCTATAAGGGAAAAGAAACCAACCACAGTGTCATTGAAAAGTGCTCTGGTTGTCTCTTACCATTTCATATTATCAAATGCCCATGAGCTTCCCTAACCAGCTATCCAGAAGCCAGTTCTGTGACTTAGAATATTCGTTGCTAAACCCTTAGACAGGGATGCAAACAGTTGCATGATTTGCCTTTCTAACAAGAGAGAAATGCAAATTGCGAATTTTACTGATTGAGTTCCAGGAGATGTTCCAGAGGTTGGCAAGAGCAAGGCAACAGCAACAGTAACTCCAAACCTAGCAGATAAACAAAGTCCATAAAGGAAAAACTGCCTAATAAATTATTGCTGTGAGATGACGTCTTTATTTGTGTATATGGAAATGGTGATGGACTTCCCACCTGCAAAAAAGCATCACTGCCTTTTGTGACACCGTCCTATAGTTCGTAGAAACGTATTTCGTTTGCAAGCTACGTACTAGGGCCTAAACAAAATACGTCTCTTTCAGAAGTTAATGTGTACGACCTCTAGGAGCTGGCAGTGATTTCAATCTGCTCAGGTCACCAAAGACTTTCAAACTTACAAACACAGACCACTGGAAACCCGACTGAGATGTTTAACTAATTTAATGCAGCCCATCGCCAACTTGTCAGATGGTAAAAGCTGTTGGTCAATAGCAAGCCAGGCTTCATTAACAGTCTATATAAGCCCTAATTGTTTCTCTGAGCCATCCAATACTTGTACAGCAGGACTGGAAACAGTACCATTTTCCTCTATTAGATGTTGTTAGACTCTGCTTGGAGGAAAATTAGAGGGGTTTTGCTAATAAATGATTTATTCTGTGGTGAGTAAACTGTTCTCTTATACACGGGTGCCTGCCAGTCTGTTAATGAATTTTGAATTGATGTTTCTTCCTTCAAAAAATACCCGGCCTGAGACTTAACCCTTTCCTATGCAAAAAAAAAAAAAAAAAAAGAGGAAAAAAGCTACAGAGGGTGAGAAAATGGAATGGTATCTCAATATTATTTTTTTTAAAGAAAAAAGCTTTGAAAAGAAAAAGCACAACATTCAAGTGAAGATATAAGACCATGATCACATTTCTGTAATCAGAGAAGTTAGCATCACCACTACAGATGCTGAGCTCCTGCCGTTTTGAGGGGCGTTGGCAAATAAAAAGTCTAATTTATATGCATTTTCAATTTAAACAACCATGAATTAAAGATCATTCAGTAGACTAACTGTAAATTAAACTGCACCAAAATGCCTGAAATGCCACAAAATACCTCAACTCACTGATTAGCAAATCAATCTGAGCAGCTAATTGATCAGAGAAAAACCATCTGCCTCCATTTTACTTCAACGGCATTCCCCATGGTCACTACTTAATGACAACTCCTAATGAGGACACAGCTGATCGGCCACAGGACTCTTTCACAGATTTCTTTCTCCATGCCATCTTCAGGATATGCTTTTGAGAATAGATATAATGAGAAGTATGAACTAGGGGTGCAGCACACCTCCTCCATCACGTCCTCCATCCTTGCTCCAAGATAAATTGAGTTTCTCACAAACACGTATCGGCCACAAAACCCCGCTGCAAGTATTTTAATCAATTCGTCAGGAGAAAAAGGTCTAAGAGAAGACACTACACGTTTAACGCCAGCGAGGCTCAGGTTCCTACTGTGTTAAATACCGGACGTGAGGACATCAGTATTTGCTCTGAAGAGGTTGCTAGAGAAAAGTTGAGGAGTTCTGAATAATTCAAGTGCCCAGAGCTGCTCTGAGGTATAAAAATCTCCAATACTTTCAAAGAAAGAACAATCAAGCCACTAAGCAGCTTGACTACCGTGGTGGGTTTCTTAGTCTCATCTGTCTGCTGTCTGCCAACAAACACAGAAATCTGAAAAGCTGGCATACCAAAAATTCTGCATCGCTTGTACCTAAATAAAGAAACATCACTTTCTTTAGGCTTGAAGAACTCAGAAGACAGAGAAATCTTGCTTAAATGGAGAGCTGACCGCAAATCAGTTTCGTCGGTGTAGGAAGTTCAAATAGTAACCCCAAACTGTGATGACATTTTTAAGGTGGAATTTTAATATGCTGAATAAATGCATATATGCCAGTTCAGGAACAAATTAAAAAAACATTTCAGAAGAAGTTAAGTGTACTTATATGCTGCTTTTACAGCAGGTTTGCAATCCAATATTATGTAGGATGAAATTTTGCTACTACCATAAATGTAACAGCCTAAGTGTAACAGACAACAGAGATTATCCAGAGCATTTTATTTTTAATTCTGCATTATTATACTTATTATGCAGGCTTCCATACCCTCTGCAGAGCACACTGACTCTTACACCAACACATGTCATTTATGAATGTCACTAACAGAAAAAGCAAAGTTCTCCATTTATTATTTGGCACACAGGAAAAGAGAAATAGCAATGCAAGTTTGAACACAATGCAGCACTTCTGTTCTTCAGTTCTGACCTAAAGGGACCGTCGGCGTCGGTGAAAGAGTAATTAGGTCCCACATCAATTTAGTCCTTCTGGTCTTTATTAAAACTAAGATGAATTCTAGTTTGAAGCAAGTGATGTTGTGGGGTGAAAACCTGTTGCTTAGCTACTGAGGTGAGATCTGTTCTTTCTTTTCCACATCAATATCTCTTTACAAGTAAATGTGTGGTTCTGCATTCGTATATACTTTTGTAATAAGAAGCACTTAAACCTTTTATTGACATGAAATAGAACTGTGGTAAAAAAAGTGAATGGTAAAGTACCTCTGTTTCCAGGAGTCCACTGTAGGCTGGATTTGCTGTGCTTCTTCTCTTTCTTTCCTGACGCTTGCTCTGGATTTCTGTAACCATGGAAAGAAACATGAATTGTGTGTTTGTCATTCATCAGGGAAAAATGTAGATCTAACTTGTTAAGCAAGATGCTCTTACCCTCAACCCCTTGGGCTTTGTGTTCAGTTTCAGTTTCTAAAGTATAATTGGGTTGCATCAGCATTGATATTTGCTGCAGTTCAAGGTTTGACATTAATAAGCTTTTCCTTGTAAGATTCAGAACACGGGCATTCATTATTTTTTCCCTCCTCCAAGGTGGACTTCTGCCGCCCTACAAGATTTTTATTGTGATCCCTTCAGACACATATTCAGCAAGCATCAACAGAGAGCTTTCAAAATACCATCAATGTCTGCTATTAACAAAAATTAAGCATTTGGAGCACTTAAGCCTTGTAATTCATATCAGATGAAAGCATAGAGATCCTTTTAAATTTCATTTACATTACTTTTCCTCTGTGAAGGTTAGAAAAAGCACAATCAGAATGGCGTGGCTAGATTCAGTTCCAACTAGGGTGCGACGAATTATCCATCAAAAAATATGCAACTTCACGATCCTAAGCGTGCAAAATGTTGTTATGAGCCGTACGTGTATTTGTGTCTCTGAAAACAGCAGCGCAAAGTTAGGCTCATCAAATTGCAGTCCTGTTTGGAAAAGGGTGAAACACATGAGAACACCCTTCCGCTAACAGGTAACACCTATTCAAGACAGTACTTGCTCAGGGCTGCATTTAGCGACAATTAGTCACGTGCATACTGCTGTAAACACGCAGAGAAAGAGTGAGCGGGTTCCTGGCCCGCTGAAACCTGCAGATTGAATGCTACTTCTATCTGAGCTAGGATTTCACTTCTGTCATACGGAATTTCTTTTTCCAGCTCTTGACGTTAAGTTCAGAATGGGGAGATTATTATAACCGTGTATTTTAGAGCCTACTTCTTATTTTCATAATAAAGGAAGAGCAGACCTACTTTAGCAAGAAGAGCCACCCAACATCCATCCCATGATATGAAGCGTGCACAGCTGGGCTGATAAAATGTTTCCTATGTGAATATTGTAAGGCAAAGTTTAGACTCTGCGCTGAGGTGTCAGATGGATGTTGTTAGTCTAAATGCCCCTGTGATGGTGATACCTCCATTCTTCCTTGAGAATACCTCTCAGAGTAAATCCCTCAGAACAAGAGGAACCGGCAGAAGCCCTTCAGCCCAGAGGACCAGGAGCACACCAAACAGAAACTCAGGACACCATCTGGTTCTGCAGAAGGTCTGGCATCTTTCATCAATGTCTGAGCTAAAGAGGTCTACCTCAGAACATCCTCGGTGCCAGAAAATGGCCTTCAGGATATTGAGGACTATCTCCCATTTGCAGTCCAACAGTAAGATACGGTCCAGCTTTCAGGATGTCTACGTTACACGGATATAGGATTCCCGACACATTTAACACATTTTAACTTTCCAAATGTTGATCACTTCCCCACAGAGTAAAAAGGGGGAAAAAACCACTTTAAGTGTTGCTAAATGGCAATGGTATTGTCGGTCACGTCTTGGACACGGTGTCCCTAAAGACAAGGCCGACACTCTGCATGGATTTTGTACTGCCCTCAGTTCCCAGACATTGATTTGAAACTTTTCATTCACGAAGGAGCATTGGCTAAGCTGCCACTCTTGGAGTGATAGATATATCAGAAGGAAACTGGATAGACAAGAAAACCAGAAGAGCAACTACTTGCATATTTTGGCTGGGTTTTCCCGCTGGCACAGGAACGTGTCACTTCTCTCGCCCAGAAGGTGTCTTCTCCTGGGGCGATTCAAAGAGTACAGGCAGGTCTGTATTCACAGCCTGGCACGAGCTATACGTACGCTGCCATGTGACCCGGGGAGCTATACAGAACCTCGCTACCAAGAAACCTGTGATCTGAGGCTGCACCGAGACGTGCGATAAAAGCCATAGCTGCAACCACTGCCAGCACCTTGTTAACATCCTTGGTGGTACGCAGACTCCAAACTGGAGGATCTTGTACGGGAAACAGTTCTGTCCCACTGTGAAAGAATTTCCTACGAAATGCTCATCTGGCTACGCTGAAATCTCCGTCCGGAAGCTTCCAAGCCCTTTGGCATCCTCTGAAGGGAATCGGGCCTCAGGAGCAGGGTAAGCACTAGACACGGACCCAGTAGCCTGCCACAGAGCCACTAGAAGAGAGATGGTTACTCTTGATGTCAGCATCAGTGTGTATAAGTGGAAAGCTCTGAAGGCCAAAAGGTGCCAGAGATGTCACAAAAGAGGAATCGCGCGCCTTGATGCTGGCAAAGAAATGGAGAAATTGGGCACCTGCTGACTTTTTACTTTGGTCTCAACAGCATGAGCTGGAGCTGTGGTTCTTGCAGCCAGGCTCAGTAACCCAAGCTGCATGGTCAGTGGACCCAGGGCTTGCAGCATCTCAGCACCCTTGTGGCAACGGGAAAAAGCTGGAGTTAAGGCAGCCCAGGCTTAGTCTTCTTCAGAGGTTGTCACAGGGATACAAGATCATGACTTTTCACTGGCTCGGAAAAAGGAACAAAGAATTTAACACAGCAGAGCTTTCTGTGTGCCAGGGTCCATAACTGGGCTGAGTGTCTTCACAAGAGGACTCTGATGGACCTGTAGCTCTCTGCCCTTTTGGGTCCCAGGCTTAAGAGAGAATTTCTTCGGTACATGCTCTCACCAAGGCAACAGAAATATTTGATGGAGTCTGAATTACACGTGTGGCAGCTACCTGGAATGCAGCTTTGGAAGAGGCATCACTATGGTACAGAGATAAAAGCTGGCTGGGGGAAAAAGTAATAGCAGTGGGAATAGGTGGAAATAGAGAGAGAGAGAGAGAGTAATGAACTGAAGTGGCTCTAGATGTACTCCACCCTACGCAGCCATCAGGGAGGGAGAGCACAAGGTCAGCACTTTATTTATGGAAACTGTGAACAAAAAATATCCGTGCTTGTGATACAAGGAGTACATACATCTAAGAATGTATCTGTAAATTATCACACCAAGATGGAAGAGAAGCATAGGCTGGTATACTATCTTTTGTTACTCGTTACTTCTGCTGAAAAGTATTGCCTACGTTTCAAAAGAGGACTTAATAAAGTAAAAACAAATAATTTGTTTTAACTGATGAAAACATTCCAGTAACCTAGATGGAAATATTTCAGGGCTTTTATTTTGCTATGGTAAAATAAGATGTGCATTTTTAGAATGACCTGAACTTAAGAATTCTTTTAAAGTTTTCTTTCCATCTACTTGGTTTTTTTTAACACAATGGTAATGCTAAAAGGTGTTCTAATAGCCTAGTGAACGAGATTTAACGTGTTACAACCATGCACTGCATCACAGAGTTGAGCTATCTTATTCCTTAGCTTCTTAATTTAAAAAATATAACCCAAACAGAAAAAAACACCAACCCTCTAAACTGTAATACATTTGACAGAGATGAATAAATTTGAAGATAGCTTTATGTTGGAGGCAAAGCTTCAATGAGCTGCTGCCGTCATCAATGAACACTCTGTATGGTCATTCTATGAGGCCCATAACGACAATTTATCTTCAGGGAAAGCCGTGCCTTGCACAATGTCAGTCAGTGGAAGTGACTGTGTTCGTTTACTGGTAAAAGCCTCAAAAAGATGCCTCACGCTCAGGCTCTGCGGAACAGAGCTCTTTTTCCAGTAAGGGGAAAGATGCTCCTCTGGACGTTCGGTGGAAAGGCTGCTAGGCTGACAGAGAAATCCATATAGAGGTGGATCCCAGCCCTTCACCACCAAATTAATGAATAAAATGAAGAAAAGCAGTAACACTGTGAATTAATGATACCGAGTGAATAAGCTTTTAACAACACAATCTTCATACAGTTTAATTCCAAAAATGCAAAACTGAGAAATACATTAGAAGTACTAAAATAAACTGAACTGTGTAATGACCACTGCTTCCTGATAAATAGCAATGGCTAATAACCGTAAATATGACATAGCCCTAAAACAATAACCTTTAGCATGTGAAATCTATAAGGGTATTTTTGACAGTTGTAATCACCAATATTCATGAAGAAATGCCCTTTCCATAGTAAATAGCTCTTGGCGGGAGCCATTTATTGAAAGCTAGTAGGAATATAAAAAGTTAATTTGTCTGAAAGAATTGATTCTGCAGGATCAGTATTGTAGCAGTTAGTTAGGTTCAAAATGCGCGTCTCTACACTTACTGTAGAACAAGCAGAGCAGAGCGGTACTTGGCGTTTTGAACATAAGCATTAAATCCACACAAACAATTTATTAATTCCAATAAATTCAAAGGGTAAAGAATTATTCAAAATGAAGTTCCCTCTGTTGTAAGCATAATTTGCACTTCAGCATAATTTCAAATGTTGTCCTATTTTCCTTAGACAAAGAAAACAAGAACCAGTCATCATTTGCACTTTCTGGATTATAAATCTTCTCCCAAAATTGCTGTAGCTTTTTAATTTCCATTTCAATCCATTACCATTAAGGGATTAAAAAGGCCGATGGCTTAAAGTTTCTTTAAACTGCTTTCAAATTCTCAGTCACTGGGACATTAAATAATTTTCTAAAATGCAGATTTAAAGAGGAAAGACACTGAAAAAAGGCAAGAAGACCCACAGAAAACCTGCTGCATATATTGAGGAGACCTTAAAATTAAGATGCTATTTTCTCCCTAATTCACAACCTCTCTTAAAACCAAGGAACAGAAGCACAGAGAATCTTACTAAAAAGAAATCAAGCTGTAAAATTGTAGATGCCTCTTGAGTCAGCAAGGTATCTAAGCACGTGCCTAACTCTAAAGCACATAAAACTAAAACTCAGTGCACTGGAAATTCCTAAGTATTTTGCTGACAAAGATCCATGGGATGAATGGTAAATGTCAATTATCATCAACATTTTTTGTGATAAAGAATCATTGTCAGCTGGCACAGATACCAGATTAGTTCTCCTTACACCGGTGGAACCACACCAACTTGTAGTAGCTGAGCATGTTACTAAAACACATCAAGCTGTGGACTTTTTCTTAAAAATAGCTGTATCTTCTCCTCTGTCCGTGAAAACTAACCCATTCTGCCAAGAAACCCCCAAACTCACCACACACCACTGGCAAAGTTGCTGAACAAGCTCGTTTTGCCCCTCTCATCTATGTTTTCAGAAAGGCGCAAATCTGCTAATTCTGGCAAGGTATTTTTGGGAAATTGGAAAAGTAAATTGAACAGTATGCAATACTAAATTTAGTTTATGTGCAATATTTGTTTGAACTCCTATTCAGAAGCCTAGGAAGGCATACTAGCATCTCTCACACAAAAGCAGGATCAGGCTGGAAGTTTGTTTATTTTTTGGCTAGATGAGGGGAAATGGGGGGAAGGAAGTCTTTGTAAGAGGTAGTTTTCTAATTTGCTTGAAATCTTATAAAACAAATGCCAGATTTTCACCACTATTTTACACATTATTCTGTGGAACTCTCGAGATGATAGACCATTAACTCAAGAAATGAAAGTCCATCTCACACGGGGAAGGAGGAGAGGGCACGCTTGCTACAGAAGGTTTGGGTAAACATCTTTGAACCTTGCTGACTCTTCAACCAGATCAGTGCTGGTCAGAGCCTTTGCAGACTTTTTGCTCCACTATCCCTTAAAGGACCATGATGACGGAGTGAGCCCAAATGCCAGCTTATGCCAAGCCTGCTGGTGCTGGCTGCAGAGCCAGCTCTCACACCCCTTGAGCTGTGCAATGGGATGGGAGGTGAGGCTGAAAAGCACAATTCTGCAGAGGTAACATTTCACCTAATTTTTTTTATTGCCCTTCTGAGGACAGTCAAGAGAAAATACTTCACTCAGAAACTGAACTTTAAAACAACATATGTCATCTTACCTTCCAAATGTTCTGTTGTAACCAGTCCTAATGCTACCATGAAGGCAATTTTCTAAGGAAAAAGTAAACAGGAGTTAGATTTTCTAATACAACAGTCATGGTAGAAGTAAGTAAATACATAAATCTAGCATTGACAGCATAAAACCAGTAAAGGCCTTTTAGAAATGTATCTTATTTGAATGCATAGTAATATGAAGAACTTTAATTGAAGATTTGCTTCAGATATGCCTGGTCAGTCACGTCCTACTTGTATGACTACATGAACTTCAGCAGTTCAGAGGCTTATGAAGCCAATGCTGTACCACTACTGCTTTCATACAACGCATGATCAAAATTCAGTCAATTCATTCAGTTCAATTTCATATTGCTAGCTGCTTTGTTACTCCACTCTTCAGAAAATTAATTGTTTATTATTATTACTATCTGGACATGCACTGCTTTTATTGGATGTGAGCAAGCTGTATGAAGTAAAACAAGCTATGATACACTTCCACTGAACTTTACAACACTAAACAAGACATTTGAAGCATATCGAAAGCCCCCTCACCCCAAATAAGCTTTCAGAAATTTCTCTTCACAAGTTACAAAGAGAGTATCATATGCATGAATTATGAAGAGGAACACTGATCCTATATTTTCCTCAATGGAGAGTGAACAGACATCTCCCACTGACACTGGTGAACTCATTTTGCAGTGAGGAATCTGATCTAAAATATTACTCAGAATTATTTTATGCTATATATGCACAAAAAACATCTGCATGCTAACAAAGCTTCCAATGCAGTAACAGGGCAAGTACTAGAGCAGACTCTAAATTTCTTTCAGTGATTTTTCATTGGGAAATGTTTTCCTTGCAGAAGAAGTTTTGCTGAAGCTTTTATTTCACCTTTTTGATCAAAAACTGAAATTCTGCTGTGTTGGTTCCAAACCCAAACTGAACTGAACTTCTTGGTTTGAAGTCACATCTGTGGTACCATGGGGCCTTGGGGATCTCTTCCTCCCTCTGCTGCACTTAACAATCTTGTTGGACCATGTTACCAAAGTGGCATTTTCATGAGGTGCAATTCCACCCGAGAGACAATCTGACTATGAAACCCAACCTATGAGGAAATCCAAGCAATCAAAGCCCACAACCCAACTCTGATAAAGTATCCAAAGACCACAGGAAGATGTAATTATCATACTCACCTAAAATAAAATATGTAGATTTAGGTTGAACTAAAATACAGTGTTTAAGCAGTAGAAGGTCAAAACATTCTGTTTCAATCAAAGAAGTGTCAGGAGAACACATGTCAACACTTCCAAGTCAAAATTAGTTTGACCCTCTTGTTCTGTGAAAAGCCTGATAATTCAACTTTTTGTTCCCGTTCAGGATAAAATCAACTAGTAAGTCACTGGAACTACCATTTCCTTCACAGTTCTGACTTTCACACAGTGCAACTGCAAAAGCAAGAACATCTTCATTTTGTAGATGAAAAGATCTAGCTATGGGGTGGGTTCTTCAAAACATGAGGGTCAGAATTGGACATCTATACCCTTCTTGCATCTGTGAAAACATCTTTGTCAAACAGGTGAACTAACAACCTTATAAGACAGGAATATTTTCTTTCCACAATCTCCCAGTATGTAACTCCCCCTGTAGATTAAAAAATGGTGATGAGAATCTCATCACTGGCAATTTAGACACATTCATGCTATATTTCTGCCTTCCATAACTGTGGTAATGACAAGCACGTGTGTTCAGTTGCATGCCAGACCTTGATTTCAATAATTTTCACTCTTTACATGTCTAAAACACCAGCTAGGCACAGTGGGGGCTCCACACCTGAAGGGAAAGATGAATATTTGATCCGAGATCCACTGTGCACATCTCAGAAGAAAATTAGTCAACTGAGGAGAATTACAAGCTTCACCTCACGCCCACCAAAAAGTGACTTTGTGGCAGGATATGTCTCAGTGCTCTGAGCAGAAGAAATAATAACATTTAGGTACAGAATCAGAAAGTCGGAACGGTTAACGTGCAACTGTATTTTCCCAATGGAGCGCAGAACGCCTGTATTACCTGAAGATTACACCGTAGGGGGAGCAGACAGTTTCTGACACCTAAACTAAAATTATTTGAGTACTGGAATGCTTGCTAAACAATTTCCTCTCTTCATGCTAAAATTATTTGAATACCTATTTAATAAAATGTAACGACAGCATACTTACTTAAGATATGAAGAACCTTCATAAATAGACTTGATAATTATCTCACTATTAAATACAGTAAGGGTTAGCTTCTATAGATATTTGAAAGATGGTTTCTTTAAAAAAAATCCCCACAGAAGCTGTATTCTTTTTAACAAGCATATTATATTAACAGCATATTTGTTTTTATGAGTTTTGCTATTTCACTCTCGTGTAGCTCATTGGATTTAACTCAAGATACTACTTCCACTGCAATACTTTTTTTTCAAATATCACAGAGTCTGTTGTTTCTCCTCTGTGCAGGAATCCACAAAACTGTGGCTTCAGTTCCTCCAGATTTTCAGTCTAGCCCCAATACTAGCATGTACTTCACAATTGCAATGTGTCTCTCTTGTCCTTCTTAGGTGGAATTAAAAACACTGTCAGCTAAATAACCAACATTTATGGCAGTAATTTTTTTTTAAAAAGATAGCTGCTAGAAGTCCCTGAAAATGTAGCCATAAATATAAAAATTTACTAATATAAAAATTTTAAAAAGTAAAAAGTTTTAGGCAGAATTCTGTTTCTTTCTGTGCTGAACTCATGTCCTCTTAAGAAAAAAACAAAACCAAAAAAACCCCAACCCCCCCAGGCACTTTGGCCCCCAGAGGAGCAGCTCCCTTGCGTAATTCCTTTATTTCTTTGCAGAAGTCATTCTGCTGGGAGAAGGCCCATCACTAGACAGGCACTTAGCCGCTTCCATCGCCAGCAAAACTCCGCTGACGGCGGCGCGCGGGTGGCCCCTTCCTCCAGACCTTCCACAGCCCTGGGTGGAGTGAACCCACATGGTTATATCCCAGGAGCGGTCTCTTACCGCTGGATCTGAAACGTCCTGGGTGGCCAAGACCCTCCATCCTGCTTCTGGGAAAGCTACTCCACAGCCAGGCGCCCAGGCATCCTGGCTGCACGACAGGCGACCCGAGGAGGTTTGCTTTAGTCGAACGGTGACGTACTGGGGAAAGGAGAAACCTTTAGCTCGTGCCAAAGGCACATGTATTGCACGGGGGTGCGTCCAGGATCGGCTTCACGGCTTCCCAGCAGAATGACCACGCCAGGAACGCGAGACAATAACCATCCTCAGTCTTTCCTGGTCATTCAGGTATGCTCAGTAACCGCATAGGGGATACCTGGCTACTGGTAAGTCTGGTGATTTCTGGTTTATTTGTTTTAGATTTTCAGTTTAATTTGTTAAACCCCAGTCTGTCACAACTAACATTTCTCTAGAGCCATACTGAAGTTCCTGCCTTAGTTTTGTACTTTGAAGATAAATAAAGGTGTGGAGAGAAAGTGCCTAGAGTGCTTAGTTTCTTTTTAAAAATACCATGGTATCTTTGTTACTCTTTGCCTTAAATTTAATCATCTGTTTAAAAGCCATGAGTGCTTTTAGAAATGCACAGTGTGTCCTTTCATGAAGCAAAACAAAGATTTTACAAAACCATTTAATTTTGTAATTACATGTTCTATTTATGTCATTATATGTATTTACACTAATTATGCTGTTAGTTCTAATTACACTAATTGCATAAATACATGATAATCAACGAAAGTTTACTTTCAAAGAACAAAAGAAATTAACTCTAGACCTACATATTTATGGACGTGAAGCAAATCTATGAAAAGAAAAGAACCGTCATATTTCAGGGCATAGCTTTGGCATCCTGCTCAGAAAACTGTGCCAAGACCTCTAGTGTACACGGTAGGAACAATGTTCTTGGTTACAAAAAAGGTAGTCAGGATATTCTAGTATTCTAGTATTTTCATGAAAAGCTCATGAAATTTATGAATGCTACACCAAATGTGTCCCCAGTCCCACGGTCTCTTCCTGCATCTCTTTAGAAGATTTTTGCTCAATATTCTCTCTAGGGAGATAAGTTACAGGCAAAGAAAAATGGATGGTTTCTCTAGCATTCTGCTTCTAAACAGGATCTCCTAGCCTTTCTGCCCGCAAGGTGCTACACAACAAATAATCTTTTGAAAATACCTCCCTAAACAAAACAGGACCCTACAGTCCCACCGTTCTGTAGCAATGAAGATTCATATGAGGGTCAGATTTTAAACTTGGGAGGTTTCGTAAGTGTAGTTCTGCAGCACTTCTACATAAGGCTTTGATATTCTAGGCTAAGCGCCACTATTTATCCCTAGTACTGTTTTAACTATATGAACCTCTTAAAATGGTAAAATGAATGACCACCCACATGCCCCAAGAAACATTATAAATTTATATTGTAATAAACCTCTTAAACGTACAGCTCCAGGGACGCTTTCTTGCCACACATTTATTAGACTAGTAAAGTTAAGATTTCACATAAGCTGAGCATTTCCACAATAGAATTAGATTTGGTTTGTATAACTTCTCAAATTGCCTCAAAAGTACACACAATCTAACGTCAATACATCTAGTCAAAACCCAAAATGCCCGTTAAAGAGAGACCCCATTTCTACAAGGATTTCTGATTTATATTTTTATTTCACATCGCAAATATAGTACATGAAAGAGATTTAATCTTATAACTTGCTTTCTACTCTCTTACTCAATTTGAAGGTTTTTAATGTATTTCAGACCAGAAAGAATCTGTGTACAGGTGGGAAGACATGTACACAGCAAATGCAAGAAACTGTATTGTTAAATATAATCTAAAAATTGCAACATTCATTACAAAGATGATGTAAAAGTTCAGCTTGCAAAAGAAATCTTAATTCAACCTCATACGCAGCGTGTACATCTGATGTTATATATTTTATAACATAAAAGAAAGTATCTTAAGCTTGTATACATCTTTCACAAGAAATACAGCTATACCCATCCAAAGAAACACAGCTATACCTATGCAAGGTACCTAGATTATTATGAGACCTACAATTCCTACATTTTGTGACACTGCAAGGTTTGAATGATGCAGACAAAATTTGCCAGGGCACCTCACTGCGGGGGGGAAGCACCCCAACTGCAGTGGTTGGGTAGAGAGATGAACAACTGGCAGAACCAAGAGCACAAATGCAAGTAATTACATACGCACACAGAAAAATGTTTAGAAATGGCTCCCATGACTTAACCATACTGTAGCTCATTTATGTAAAAGAATATTAAAATATCACCTCCGGATTTTCTTCCTTTTTCTTTTTGGTAGCAGGGGGTCCCTGAGCTGACTCTTCAGGAGGTTTCTTTGTCTCCACTTTACTTTCTGTCTGGGTTTGGACTTGAGGCTGAATAATGATAACCTAAAAGACAATGTACAAATAAAAGAAGATAATTCACTATCTGAAACTGGATTTTTCTGCCTGAAACCTTTGATTCTTCTTTGAACGGTTACTTGATATCTCTACAGACAACAGATGCAAGTCACAAGCGAAAAATATAACAAATTGGACACCTACGTTAGGTGTCTAAATCCATACCTAAGTTTCTAAAAATTAATGTCTACAGGTGCATTAGAAACCCACTGCAGCCTAAGGGAGCCACTTCAGCGCCTCTGAAAAATAGGACACTTTCTATTTAGAGAACTTCTGAAGCTGACTCAGTAGCCTAGCTTTAGCACTCATGTTGTCAGTGATTTTAAGATCTTTCCTTTGAGTTTATTTTGCATACAGGTAGAAAAGATGGAGTTATTACACATTCAAAACCACAGTCTGATCTCCATCATACCAGTGTTATTTCAGAGTAAGTACATGGGGAAAGGAAGGAAGATACTCCTCAGTACTACTCATGCAACTGAGATCAGGGTTCAGTCCTCAGCATTTATGGGTTATGTTGTGTTTTGCATAAACAAAATAAACTATACGTGGTTTAAATTAAAAATCATTCTGGTTTATAACCTACAGGAATTACTTCACAGACCTCTTATACATACATGTATGTTAATATTGCAGCAATATAATCCATCTGACTGTATGTGAATTACCACATGAAGATTTACACGGTGCAGATAGATAACATTATCTCTGAAGCTATTAAATTAAAAGGAATGAAAAACAATTTCTGATCACAGAACTACTCACATGACTTTATATACACAATCAAAGCTTCATGAAGGACTATGGAAGACCTTCCCAAGCTCACCTTCTTGATGAAGGTTATTGGATTTGAACGCTGGACGTTTTCCATCTACTTCATTGCTAACTGTCAATCAATGTTATTTAATTGTTAGATACTTTATCTCAACTCAGTCACTCTAGAAGATTCAAGAGCATGGAAAGGGATGGTTTGCTTAACCAGCAGCCAGTTTATGTAAGAAAAAAATAAATTATGTCAGAGAAGTGGGTAAGAGATGCCTGCTTTTATTTACCTCAAAAGCCATCCTACATCCTGTATTCTTTTTTAGCACTGTATGAGAACTTGTGCTGCCAACAAGACCCAAGGTAGCAGGATCCCAGTAGCAAACTACAACAAATGTCTGCTAGGTACATTGGCAGCCTTTATTGCATCTCTTTCTGGTATAAGAACGGTGAAGTTCTTGCATTTCAAAGCTGAAAAGCAGCACAAAGAGGAAACGAGTAACTCATAATTTGATATTTTCCTACTGATTCATCCGCTGATCTGTTTTGAAACCCTGAGCTCTCATTTCATTTGCTCTTCCCCTGAAAGTGTAGAAGGGAATGCCTGATTATTTGATACATTCCCCCGGGGTCAGTCGATATAACTAATATCACTGTATAATTGAAGAGGGAGTCCATAGGAAATTTGAGCCTGCACAGAATTCAGGGATATTATTAGTGAGGATTGGCTTAAGGAAATGGAAGATCATGTGGTCCCATTAATGTCAGGCTACATCATGCTGCATTTTGCTCCTCCTAAAAAATAACGCATGTACACAGATAAATGTCTGCTAGCGTCCATGTGTCCCCTTAAGAATTTTCCCACTGCTTTCTGATTATTTTCTTCAAAAGGAACCACTGACACCACTCTGCACAGGGCTGTGCCCCCCCGGGGGAATATTCTGCTTATATCTGCAATGTAATACCTGTGTTTGATAACAAAAAAAAAAAAAAAAAACCAAAAAAACCCTAAAAAAACCCAAAAAACCCACCACACGGGAAAAGCAGAACCTACCTTGTTGTCGGCACTAATGAGGAGTGGTTGCACTTTAATGCTATCGTTGACCACAGAGACAGTCGCGCTGGTGCTGATAGGAGTTGCATTGTTGGGGGAGGTGGAAATGATGGCGTACGCCACACCTGCACTGCTCAGAGGTGATGAAATAGCTGTGGACTCGGTGACACTTTGTGACTGGCTGTTAGGCGTCTGTACATGGCTGACGGTGTTATTGGCAGTCGGGAGGGCAGGGCTGGGGTTTTTGATGCTGACTACGGTTGCCTTCTGGAAGGTAGGAGGCTGCTTGGAAGGTTGGTCTCTGCACGGGGAGATTGGGAGGCTGTCTGGAATCAGGGTCTTTGGCCTAACCTAGCAACAGAGAGTTAGACACCGTCAGGCTCAGCCTCACACCGTAATCAACAAACACTGCATACATGCCTTCTCCCAGTAGAATCTCTAATTGCATTATCCATGGAAGAGGAGCATCTAGAAACACATAATGTAGCCACTTGAAGTAGCCAGGCATTCATTTACTTGTAGATATATTCCCAGCGCTCCTCAGTTGAGTCATTTCGGAGTCCTTAACTCATTGCAATGCTGAACAAGAAGGGAGGAAAAAGTAAACTCCTCGCTTTTATTAGCACACATCCATATAAATGCTACTCAAGTCACATCCAGTTCTCAGTAGGGATGTTTAAGCCAAAGCCTTCGCAAAGAATGGAAACTCCAGACGCAATAGTTTCCTGTTCTGAAGGACATGCCAGTCTTGCTATGAATTAAGGAGTGGGAACTGAATCATTACCGGAGTTGTGGGAAAGCATATGCAACAGCAAGCGTATGCATTCATACTGGTGGATGTCAGTGAATGAAGAGCCTCGCTTTTTTAATATCTGCCATGTCTAATGCTCACTCAGCTCACCAAAAACAAAAGAAAAGAAAAAAAAAAACAGAGAGGAGAAAAAAAAAGAAACCCATAACCATCGAACGTCGTATTTTGTCGCTGTGAGTAAAGAGCTGGTTTGCCGCTGCGGGCGGACACAGAAGGAACTTCCACGGGTGGAAGGGGAAACTGCCAAGATCTGCGAGAGCTGCGGCTTTACCCAGCGCCACGAATGAGAGCAGCGAACGGTGGCTTCCAGCTAACGTGATGCGTTTCCAGTGGGGTAATTAACGTCACCCTGTCAACATGGCTCTGCCTTAACAACATGTTAAGTACAGTTCCAGGATTGAAAATAAATAATTTAAACGGCTTCACATGAAGTTAACTTCACTCCCAGCCTGTTCGCTAACATGGCCACAGAAAACAGGCGGTTCCCTCCGTGCTGATTTCGTCCTGTCACTTCTCGCACCTTCCATACGGTGAAACAAAATGACACGCTGGAACAGACAGACGCGGGATACAGCTGCCAATGTCGCCGCGCTGCTGTCTGCCGCAGCCCTTCCAACGACGCCGGCTTCAATCTTGAGCCTAAGCAAGTAACTTAACCAAATCGCGGGGGTTTACCGATGTGCAGAAAATCGTCTCTCGAGGCTTGGCCCGTCATCCTCCACCGTGTCAAGGAGGAGCCGTGCCCGTCCGTCCCCTCAGCGAGTATCGAGCGCCAGCAACACACGTACTGCGAGCTCTTCGTGTTTTGGTAACTCAGCCCTCAACTGCCAGTAGGACCCCGACACCCACGAGCAGTGCCACGGCGTGTTGGAGGCACGGTCCTGCTCGGGAGCGTCTGAGCTGTCGGTAATCAAGGTAAATGGAAAGCGAAAGAGGCAACAGAGCCGAAAAAGAGCAAAAGAAGAGCACAAGGCTCCTGACAAAGCCAGGAAGCCGCTGTGTTCGGCTCACAAGTTCAGGGTAACACTGGAAGGCCTTGCAGACCCGCTGTGAAATGATGTCAAGCTACACTAAACTGGGGCTGACCGTATTCAAGACACGCTGACAGTAACTGAAGGGGTTTTTTCTCTTTTTCCTCTATCCAATCACTTTATGTAATGATTATTTGATTTATTTAGTTAAGATGCCAGACGAATACACCGGCCAAGATGTTTAAGAGAGGAGTCTGTAATTAGCTTCATATCTGTAATTAGTTAATGGTCTTATTTTCAAAAGTAGTGGACAGAGAATTGGTTTAAATCCATCTTGGCCCAGGCATCCTGCAAAACTAAGGCTTATAACATAAACAACAGCTCAGTGCAATAGGAGACATAATACTTAAAGCAACTTGTTCATGTCTGTATCAGTGTCAGCTATACAAGCAGATCGTATAATATCTACTTCTAAATTTTCATAATATCCTTTCCCTCCTATGTTATATCTTATATAAGCGTCTCATATGTAAGCTTTTAACAAATTGCTCATCCTCATGTGCTCAGAGACACATTCACAGAAATAGTATCATTATTCAGAAAAGAAAGTCTGTAAAGCTTGGCAAAATACAGTTCAAAAAAAAAGACTAAAAAACCCCAAATTTAATCCTTAGCTATTTGGCTAACATCTAAATTATACCATCTCTCCTTAAAACTAAATAATTCTCTTGTAAATTAATGTAACATCTGTTACCAAGAGAAATACTGTAAACACACAAACAGATAAGCACACATATACAGAAAAAGAGAGAGAGAGAACAAGGAGTACATCAGATCAAAGATTCAATAGAACAGTCACCGAGATCTTTAGAAAAAATCAAGACTGACAAAAAATTGGCTCAGGAGTTTTCCTAGCCAAAAACCGCCATGTAGTCTACCAGGATCTACTGTATCTGTCACTCTTAATTGCACTTTTATCTTTAATCAAAAGGCTAATTAAAACTAAACGCCTATGTATATTCCAGCTATATAATTATCTTTTCTACGCTGCTACATATATATATTGACTGTCAGATGTAATACCTCAACGAATCCTGTAGACACCCCTAAGACACATTCCGCAAGTGGTAGACAAATGCATATTACTTCACTACGAAATAAGCTCTTCCTGCACAGACAACTAAACAAACTTAATTTTCCAAAGTAACATATTCTCTATAAGGCGCTGCCTACTGAAATAGCGGCGACGACTTACCAAACTGGTACCGCGCAAGAGCATACGCCGGGCATTTTCTGCCACCGTGTGATACAAAGGAGGTATAGCGGTCTTCGCAGCCCGAGCCTCTGCAAATTCCCTGGCAAGTTCAGCTAACGCTGCCAGAGCATATTTATTTGCAATTATAGAATAATAAAAAGGGTTGAGTGCAGAAGAAGTTTCAGGTGCTCCGCAGTTAAAGCCAAAATAAGTTAAATAATGTTTATTTCTACAGCCTGTAGGAATGAATCCAAGACAAAAAGCAAGCATAGAAGCCCCTTGTGCTCTAACACCTACGAACCTTCCTCCCTTGAATTTAAACACTAAACACACACACGCTTAATAAAGAGCTAAGTGAAAGACCTTTTAGCAGAGTTGCACATTAAAAACCAAATTGGTACAGTAATCTGTGAGAATAAATGGTGACAGCTGGGAAGGAAAAATGAAGGAAAGAGCTAGCATAAATTCCTTTTCCTCACGGCAAAACTGTAGCTTAAATTTGGGAGCTGGAAGGAGGAGATTGGAAGTTTGGAAGCTGACAGTCACTGAAGAAGAACTGGAGAGAAATTAGGGCAGGGTACGGACTGCATTTCACATGCAAGGTAGCAAAACGACGTTTTCCACTGAAAGTAGCACAGGTTGGATGACATCGGTCCCCATTACAAGAGCCACAGAAATAAAAGGCGCAAGAGTTTAGCAAAGGAGAAGAAAAGAGGAAGAATAACAGACAGCATCTATATTACCCAGTGAAAACTGCAACTGTTGGCGAGCGTGGCGAGTAACAATCCTCCTGTAGCTCAACCCTCTTCTCCTCAAATATCTTTCATTTAACTTCTGACAGCTGTCAAAACAGAATGTGATACTACCAAGGCTCTAAACGCAGGAGAACAGAGAGCTTCTTCTTGAATATAATGATTTTGCAAGCCCATGTTGTTCTTGAGTTTCCTCAATACCCACCATAACAGAAACATTTGATTTTAGGAGGCAACATTCAGATACCCCTGGTACTTCTCAAATAGCCTGCAGGTGAGCACACTGTTCAAGAAGATATTCCCAGACCTGGGAATCCACTAGGTGTGGGCTGTCTGCTTTTCAGACAGGGAAATAACAGGGATCCCCATCCTGTGAGATATGCAGAATGCTCTTTTGTTCAGCAACCTCTAATTTCAGATGGTTTTTTTAGAGAGTTTCAGATCAGGAGGGAATCGGCTCCTGTGACTGATATGACTTCTTGTATATCCCATACCATTTAGCTCCGTCCAGCTGTCCCTAAACGAAGCCCAAAGGCTTCCATTACATAGAACCATCATTCCAGCTCTCAAGAGCACAAATAGCTGAATACCACAGAGGCGAACAAATGGCTGAGTGGCGGAGGTGGGAGAGCCTGATGTGTGTCACCATTGATAAAGGCAACTGTGATCATGACAATCTATTTCCTGAGCCAGGTCCCATCAGGTGAGCCACTCCCATGCTGTAGTAAAGAAGAAGGTAAAACCCAAAAACTCTTTCAAAATAAGCCCTCAAGATCCAACCCAAACAAGTACGGGGAAAAGGAGGAGAAGGGAAGGAAATCACACAATTCCTCCCATCTCTGTGGGCAATCCTATGTAGTCCTAAAGGACAGGATTTAATTACAACGGTTATCTCTGTGCAGATCTGCAGGTGCTATGAGAATTGTTAAGGGCAATTCTGGTAAATGTGTTCTCCTCACAGCCTAGCAAAGAAGGGAAGTTAAACAAGTGCACTTCAGTTACAAAATCGTAAGGGCTCAGCACCTTCCAGAATTTCTCCCAGAAACTGAAGACTTATTTTAAAAGAAAATACTAAAGCCTTCTTAATGACAAATTCATCACGAGCCCCAGTAAACTGTTATAATATTATATTATGCTCATGACCGGCATTTTATTGCGAGGTTGAATTTGCTTAACTTCAGCTTCCAGTCCCTGGATCTTGTTACAGCTTTGTCAGCAACACTGAAGAGCCCTCCCTCTCCCCAACATCAGATATCCGCTGGATCGTGCTCAGCATCAATCAGCCCTTCATACTGGCAGGGCCGATCTGGATGAGAGTAAATTTTTCAGCGCAACGCAATATCACATTGCCTTGGAGAGAAAGACCATTATTCACACTTTATTTTCACTTCACCCTTGTACTCAGAGCTTAAAAACAAAAACTCAAAATGGATTTGGCACAATTCATATGTCACCGAGGCAAAGTGCTGGGAGCAGCAGACAGCGCTTTCATTCTTGAAAAGCTTTAGAGGATCACACAGAAAACATTAGCAATGGCTGATAAAATGAGTGCAATATGGGGT